GTGATCAACTTCTACCCATGCCCGCTCGCCCAGGCATCCCTGCGCATTGTGGCCATGTTGCAGAAGGGCGAGCTGGATCCAGCCATCGCGATGCAGCTCCTGAGTCAAGGGGGATCGGTGCCTGGAAAAAGGCCTTTAGAATCCATTGATGCAGGTTCTGGTGAAGCTACTGCAGGTGATGCTACTGCAGGTGAAGAATCTTTAGATGATCTTTTGCACCAGGCAAAAAAGGCGAAGAAGGACCCTTTACTCAATACATGTAAGCAACCATGCACTTTCTTTCATGTTTCATTTCCTTGTGAACCTGCCACCCTAGAAGCAATATTGTATTGTGCCTTTGTGGGTTGGTGACTTTGTATGGGAAACTTGTCCTGAGTGTCTCAGCCAACCAGGAGGAGAATGCGCTGAAGCAAAAGTTACGGCGTCTTTGCGAGGTCAAGACTGGAGGCAGGCTGCAGGTGCCGCAGTGGTTGCATGATGAATGGCGCAATGGTGACCACTTGGCCATGGCCAAAGAGTATCAAGCCTGTGGGTTTGACAAGGCCACCTCCCTGCCACCACTACTTGTGTTTCAACAATGTGTGTTGTCCAGGTGCCCGTGATCCCTTGATTGTAAATCCATGGCCCATTCCTTCAGGTGGCTTTCATGAAGTATAAGAAAAAGACCCTGACCAAGAACGACAAACATCTGAGTGATGTGTCCAGTGGATGGTACTCCAAAGAGGACATGGCCAAAATTTTGAAATGGAGTGCGAACCTCTTCCGACATGTCAACATGTTCATGCACTCAAGGGTGAAAGTGTTTTTACCCCACCAAGTCTTGCCTCAGCATTTTTGGTGTGCTGAGGAAAAAATCTCTGGAGCGGTGAAATGTTGTGAAGCTGACAAAGACAACCTGGTGAGGCTAGTCGATATACACTCATGTGAGACAAACCATGCAACATCACAACGACAAGGATGTACAATCATATTTGGGTTGAACGTCCAAAATGATTGCAATGTTATCTTGAATCCATTAATTTCCCTCTAATGCCTGCTACCAAGGCGTTGCAAATATGGAGGAGATGATGAATACTATGTTCAAGTGCGTGAGTCCGGGAGCCACCAACAAGAGAAAATCGCATGTGAACAACATGTGGAGCAGACACAGGACCCCTGCCTCCCTTGGCCAAGTCTCAATAATTCAATAGAATGCTCCAGGTAGCAGGTGCACCTTGCCTGTCAGGAGAGTGGCCCAGCTGAACTACCCGATGTGGCAATCTCCCAGGTTGATGCCAACGCACGGCGTTCGGAGGCTTTGCAAGGTGCAGCAGTGGCTCAAACCAGTGAGGCACGCTTCCACACACTTAATTCACAGGAAAGAACTACAATGATATTCTTGAAGTGTTGAGGTTCAGTAAACCTGACTAGAGGGGTGTGCGTTGATCCACTCACAGTGCATAGTCTGTTTGTGAGGCCAACCGCGGCAAGGAGGTGTTCACAAAATACATGGATTCAGTCTTGCAGAAAAGTGCCAAGCTCCGTTCGCTGATTGGTGATTTGCAGAAGAACTATCCGGAAGACCCGACTGCAAAGAAGTTTCTCAGCCTGATGGGAGTTAAATGACAAGCATGATTTGACAGATTTGGGCTAGTGGGCTTTTGCTTTTCCTTACGTCACATTGCTTCCCATCCATGGCCTTGGCAATCAGGGCTGTCATCGCCTTGAATGCCGACCTCTTGACCTTGGATGCCGAGTACAACAAGCTGGCGGAATGTATGGCCCAGGGTGAACGGGATGACTTTGACCAGGGGTGGCTTACCAGAAAGAGTTCAAGTATAGAAATTGAGGAATGAACTGACCATGGACAGTGTACCATCTTCTAATCATAGTCCCAGAACATGTCGATCTCAGGTGGGCAACTCAATCTGAAAAGGTAATGAAAGCTTCGACCTTCGTGTGCCTCAGCGACATGAAGCTTAAAGCATGCCTGTCAGAATTCATACTTTCAAAATATGTGTGCACACATGCGCGCCATCCATCTAGGTGCACCAAAGTTGCTTCAAATGAAGCCAAGATTCGGTGGGAGCCTCAAAGCACCAAGCCAGAGCAGCGTCAGGTTCTTGTCCATTGTGTCCTTGTAAACATGGCGTGCTAGATGCTGGAAACACTGGGTTAAAGACTGCCCTAAGACATACTCGCACAAGGAGCGCCAAGCGTCACTTCAAGAAGAAGGAGACCGAGCAGGAGGAGAAGAAGTGATCACTTCTTCCTTTGGGGTCACTGGGGGTGCCAATTCTTTCCGTGTTGGAAAGCCAGTGGCACATATGATTGAAGGGATTGCGTTACCAAGATGCAATCCAAATGTTGCCTTAATTGGCCTTTGAAATGGCGCTTCAGGAATGGACACCTTCTGTGTTTAACGCCATTGTTTTATGGCTCATGGGTGTGTAACCCACCCCACACATGAAACCATGGCCTAACTACCTTTCTCAATGATGTTCAATGCATGCGCCATTGATGGCCTATGATGTTGGGTCCTTGTGCCAACTGTAGCGCACGATCAGCGATTGGGAAATGCGAGTGGAAATTCACTGAGCCACTGGTCAATCGAGTTGGTGGAGACTTTCATTAGTGTAATTTTCTAAAACAAATTTGTGCCACCAGCTTCAACTGCGCCTGAAGACCCAATCATGCATCCCCTTGGGGTATGATTTCATATTGGCTGTATGAGATCATACCCCTGTATGATCTCTTGCCCATGTCTTCTAGCCAGGTCACGTGGGCCAATCTGCAAAGCGATTTGCAGCCAACATCGGTGAAGGAGCCGTGGGCCAAGTGAAAGTGTACATACCAAATACATGAGGTCAGTTCATCTTGACTGTTTTGAGCACATACTACCATGTGTGCCCATGGACTCCATGGACTTCAAGCTGCAAAGTGTTGGCTCTGCATGGGGCCTTCCCCAAACATAAATTCTCAAATTGCAGCAGCCATTGTAACAATGACAAAGCTGTATAAGTACCATGCGGTGACAAAGTTAAACCAAAACAACTGTGTTGGTGATATGCCATGGAATCTTCTGATGATGAACTCATTGAGTTGCTGAGCTGCCATCGACCGGCTTCTTGCCAAAGTATTTATTGACAACAGTTGTTGAACATTGAAAACTGGGGGGGTTGTGCTACTGTCACCTGAGGCTTCAATATGGCCCTATGCGTGGGAGCACCAACGGGTGAAGCGATTGAGGTCTACACCCCCCTTTTCAGTGGATCCGAACCCAAAAAACTTACCTCTTGAAGGTGGCAACTCTGGTCGTGATGAACTTGGTAGACATGTAGTGTCGGAGGCCATGATTTTCAAAGATATTTATCTGCAGGATGATGATCTTGCAATGCTGCCACGGTCGCAGGATGTGTTTAGAAAAATTGAGTTGGATGACTCTCTTAGTTTGAGCCTTCCAAGACCGGGTGCGACGGCTGGTGCAGTTCTTCGACATTGTGTGGAGGTGTTTGAACGCTTGCTGGAAAAAATAAACCGATGACCTTCAAGTTTGGGATTACTCACGATCCATGTGTGAGGTGGCACAATACTAAGTTTGGCTACAAGTACTCGAAGGATCCCTTCCAGCAGATGCTAGTGGTATACGCTGCTTCAAATCCTCATGGGCCAGCTTTCCTAGAAGCTGCCCTAATTGACCGGTTTGGGAGTTTCTTGGTTGCACCTCCATGCTACAACTTCCTGCCTTTGTGTGTTTGTTTCAAACTTTCCTATACACTTGGTTGATGGTGTTGTTTTGCAATCCCTGCTTTGTTTGTGATCTTCTTCACAGTGAGGCTGGCAGGGCTGCAAAAATTACCTTCGTGGTGGAGATTCTCTGAGAGATGTTGATTCAGGACCATATTTCACGTATATTGTTTATATGTCGTGGAAGAGGCCCAGCATGCAGGTGAGAAGCCTTGGGAAATCCAGCTAGACTTCTCACTTCACCTGGATGCCTTTGTAGAACCCTCACATTAGTTTGTTCATGCAAGTTTTGAATTTGTTTAGGCGAAGCTGTAAAGATGTTTCCCAATTCGTTTGGCGTATAGTTTGGCCACGCTGCATGGTGATTGGTGGTCTGATAAAATTGTATCTTGCTTGGGCTGTGGCTGCGCGTCTTGTGCAGGATTGATTTGATGGTGCATTTTCCAACTTACTGGCAAAGCACATGTTCACATTGATGTGTGAGATGATTACAACTCTATAGTGTAGAGAGGTTGATTCTTTTAGTTTGATGACGCTGACTTGCCGAGGCCAGTTGTGTGAGCCAAATCCTCACGGCGCAAGCCGTGGCTGCTGACATGGGGGTGGGGCAAGCGGCCCAAACAGGGGTGAGAGATTGGGCATCTTGCCACGTGCACAATTCAGAAAGGGATGTTCAAAGAACTTTGAAAAAGCAAAGGACTAAATTGGACATACCAATTCGAACAATTCGGTGCAATGGACTTGACATTCCATGGATTTCTCCAGAAGCATGGCTTCAATGGATAGTGAACAAGGGTCTTTGGCCAACATTGGCTGGTTGTCATCGTCATGACTATGATGGGGCCTGCCGCAACTGGTCTGAATTTTGGCGGAACTATGAGAAAGTGGATCCTGATTTCGATTTGTTTCAAAGCCCCAATGTGGATTTTTCCAGAACTGCAGCTTGGTTGGTTCATGGGGATGAGGGTCGCACGCTGAAACGTGGGGCAATGATGGTGACGTCTGTGCAAAGTGCGCTTGGTTGTGGTTATGATGAGAAAAGGGTCCGTGGCCAAAAATCTGACACTACCGTATTGCGAGTAAACTTTGCTGGACATTCATTTACAACCAGGTTCATTTTGAACGCAATACCAAAGTCAGCGTACGAGGCTGAGCCCAATGTTTTCAGCAGTGCTATGGAACATGCTGCGAAGTCACTCCGGAAATGTTTTGATGAAGGCTATGTGGATCACACCAGAGGTGAACGATTCAGGGTCATTGTCTTGGGTGTTAAGGGAGATGCTCCCTATTTGACAAAGAATGGCAACTTCTACAGGTCCTACAACACCACTGCCAAAAAAGGTGAAGAACGAGGTGCGCCCAAGGGAGTGTGCCCATATTGCCTGGCAGGAACGCATGGCTTCCCGGCTGAGGAGATTTCCACTACTTCTCCAAAATGGCAGATGACACTAGCTGTGAAACTGCCCTGGGTCAGGTGTCCGCCTTTCATTGAGCATTTGATTCACAATCGTGGGAATCCAGCTGATTTTTACAAAAGTGACATTTGGCATGTTGTTCATCTTGGGTTTGGTCGAAGCTGGATTGCAAGTGTGCTTCAGGTTGCCCTTCCATACTTGCCATGTCAGAACCTTGACGAGAAATGGGTATTCCTGTCATCAGACTATTTGGGATGATGCAGGGCGCACAAAAAGCAAGCTCATGTCAGCAAGATCAGCCCATACTTGATGTCATATGGTGACAGTAGTGGTGCTATGGGCAACTGGCACAAAGGTGCCCTGACATGCAACTTCATGCAATGGCTGGTTGATTTGTTGGGGAAAGTTCCAGTTGATCCGCAAGGCTTGTTGATGCAGTGCCGTGCTGCAACCTACCGCTTGAACTCAATGTTCAGTGTGCTGTATAGAGCAGGTGCATTTCTTACAGAACAGGAAGCTTCATACGTTTCCGAGCAAGGCCTACAGTTCTTGAGATGCTACGCGAAAGCAGCTGAGGTGATGTTCAATGCTAGCAAGCAGTGGTGCTTTCCATTGTACCCAAAGCTTCACATATTTCATCACATAATGTTGGATGTCAAATTCAAAGGGGAAAGTGCACATCTATGTTGCAACCCCATGCTATGGGGTTGCCAGATGGATGAAGATGTTGTCGGCAGAGCCAGCAGGTTGAGCAGACGCGTCAACATCCGAAAGGTGTGCTTACGGGCACTCGATCGATACCTTGTTGCTGCCTATACAGCTCACACAAAAGCAGGACTGTTGGATTAGAAAAAGGCTGGGCGCTGAGATATCGATTCTTGGTGGGTTCTTGTTTGCATGTTTGTGCTGAATGTCATGAGCAAGTTGTTTCATGCTGTTCAAGATGGAATCCAATACCTTCTTTATATGCTGTATACTCAAGGGCTAAGATAGCCAAAAAAAATAGATATGTTTTTTAGAAAAACATATCTATTTTTCTTCTACCCTAAAAAAAGAAGGTATTGGATTCCGTAGGCATACATATACATACATATACATACATACATACATACATACATACACACGTATGTACGTACGTACGTACGTACGTACATAGTTACATAATGCGCACCTAGGATTAAGTAACCACCCCCTATTAATCAATCCCAGCTTGGCATCCCCCCAATAATTTTTTCTCTACCAGAAACCTCCCCCTATTAATCAATCCCAGCTCCCCCAGAAAAAAATATCATTGGTTTTATATCTATGTTTTTTTCTTTTTGAGTATTCAATATCTTTTGGTCCATGGTGAAACTGATCTTCCAATCCACCCTTGTCTCATGCCATCTCTTTGAGATATAGCATTCTGATCCACCCTCACCACAAATAGCCTCCACCTCCCATTCCTCATCCTCCATGCTCTGATATGCAGTGATCCAATTGGCATGGCTCTCTGATCAATCCTATCTGATCTCTGACCAAACTTGTGCCAATACACTCAGAGCTCTCTTGGTTCTCATGGTTCAATCTCTCATGATCCATCATCCATCATCAGGTCATCAGCTTTATTAGGGGGATGTGATCTCCCAAACCTCCAATCCCAAACCTTGTTGACCTTGAAGGGGGGGGCCCGTTGATTAATCCTACGTGCGCAT